CAAAGCAAGATTGAAAGCACGCCAAACACGTAGACTAGCATCCTTTTTGCGACGACTTCAACATCTTCAAACCTGTAGACATCCTGAATACTACCATGAACAAACACAGCAAGAATGGCTAGCCATTCGAAGAGCTCAGGGCTACGGGCGGTCATGGGAGAGATGGATCCTTTCGTTCGATTGCATCCCATTCGTCCCGTGCACAACACCCACGCAAGAGTGGGTTGCCGAAGTTTTCCAAATAACCAAGCTTGACGCAGATGCTTACGCTCGACAGGAAGCCAAACTGCGACGTTACCACCAAAAACATTGTATAACTTTTGCTCAGGCCCATAATAATAATGCCAGCACATACCGGATTATCCGTGGAAAGGAACAACGTTTCCTGAATGACTTCCCAATATGCCACACATCTCCTGCACACTTGTGCCGGGCCAAGGCCACTAAGCCCAAACTTAAGATGTCTAATCCCTTCGAGATCCCTGTTGGAGCGACCATTACCTTTGGATCTTGTTCGGCCGTGGTCCACTCATGCCGTTTACCATTCGTCGAACTGGCACAAGTCTCCGGACCCTTACCTAGTCAAGCCACGCTTCACTACAAGACACACGCATATACTGTCCAAGACATGTCACCTGCATTCCATAAATTTTGGGCACAGTTTTGGCTTCGGGACTCAGTTGAAGAGCAATGTACAGATGCACCCTGGCAAGCACTCTTGTATGATTTAGATACAACTGTCCCGCTCCAACCCATGCTCGATATAAAAATCGATAGCCCCCAATGTCTGTGGGACTCCATTCATCGGTTAAAGCCATATAAAGCAGCCGGAGCCGACGGATGGCATTCGGAAGAGCTCCAGATGCTCACGCGAACCATGGTCTCGGACCTTGCCCAACTTCTCGGTAACACGTGGTCCTTAGGCTTCTCTGAAAGATTAATGCAGGCTAGAACTTTGCTCTTTGCCAAAAGAGACCACCCTGAATCCATATCCGATGGGCGGCCTATTACCATTCTCGGATATCTAGCACGACTATCTTCCAAAATGATATCAGACCAGATACTCCAGCAGTGGGCCTCCACATGGCCACCAGAAATCAGCGGGGGTCTCCCACGCCGCTCTGCCAGAGATTTATCAGTTATCCAACAACTCCAGATAGAACAGGCAAAAACGCACCACACTGCGTGGGGGGTTGGACTATGGACCTTGTTAAGGCCTTTAATCTTATCCCACGCCAAGTCATCAAGCACATTTTCCAACTATTGGGAATTCCAAGCTTTGTCACCAATTTTTGGTTCTTGTCTCTTACGAAATTGTCCCGTGCACTTCAAAATGGCCAGTCCCTCGGTCCGGCTACGGCCTCCACTACGGGCCTGCCCGAGGGTGATTCGATGTCCGTGGTAGGAATGCTTGCCCTTAGTTTCGTCTTCCATGCTAAATTGAAATCGCCCCGACTCTTCCCATACGCCTATGCAGATAATTGGAGTTTTATGTCCACCTCCGAGAGAGAATGTTTCCGTGCCATGACCACAATTCTGAACCTCATCACAGGACTCAAGATGAAGATTGATTTTGCTAAGTCATGGTGTTGGGCAACCACCAAGCAATTTAAGTTTTTTTGGCACGACGCCTCAGTCATCCTCTTGGACCCTGCTTTCGCTTTTCAAATCAAGAGCCATGTACACGACCTTGGATGCACCATTTCGTACAATAACCAGGTTGTCCTTGGACCCTTAAGAGATAAAATCGACAACGCCATCGCCAAATGCAACCGTTTGCGCAAATTAAATTTAACTCTTGATGACAGAGCAGAAAAGATCCAAATCGCTATTTGGCCGGCCGTTTTCTATGGAGCTCTAGGCGCTAGTATTGGCCAGAAGCACTTCACCAGCCTTCGGCGAGCTGCCGCAACAGTCCTCGTAGGCGACTACAAGCATGCCTCTAGTTTCGTCGCTCTCCATTATTTGTCAGCCAAGATCCAAGACCCAATGCTATATTTGATTACAGACATGCTAACCACGCTACGACGTTATTTTCTCTACTACCCAAACCTTGCCAGTCAGGTCCTACAAACCATCCGCGCATTCGATGGAAAAGTCAGGGGTCCGGCCAGTGCCCTGGCCTCCTACCTGCGTTTGCTAAACTGGAGCATCACATCCACCGCCACACTCCTGGGCCCCGGCGGCCTCAGAATCAACATTCCTAGTTCCTCCAATCGACAGATCAAAAATCAATTGCGAATCTCCTGGGACTGGTTTTGCCATAACAACATCCTCCACCGCAAAGGTGTACCCTCAGAACCATTTGACTCCACCACCACCTTGCGGCTACTCAACAAGCTTTCAGATCGACACAGACGTATCCTTGCACTCAGCTTAACATCAGGTTGGCAATCTCTGGGCGGTATTGCCCAATGGGCTGCCACACAAGAACCTGAATGCCCTTGGTGCAAACAACACGACACACATTGTCACCAGCTCTTAGACTGCCCCACTTTCGCTGAGCTACGTGCCCAACATCCCCAAGCTATCACGTACATGAACCGCAATCGTCGTGTGTGCTGGTTCCCGCTTCCAATGCATCACCCCGATACGGGCCTAGCCCGCCAAGCAATGTTCCTACGTCACCGCACTATCTTTACGAATCCACCTCAGTCTTTGGCCAGGCACTCGGTCATTTACACTGACGGGTCCTGCGACGACACCAGGGACCCCTATACTGCCCGTGCTGCTTGGGCCGCGATCTACCGTGCACCGCATCCGGACAATGCCAACCCTCAAGCCTTCTCAGTTCTCGCCTGTGGTCATTGCCCAGGACACCAGACCATAAACAGATCCGAACTATATGCTATTACAATAGCCGTCGAACATATTGCAGCCTACCCATCCGACGCACAGGTCACCTTTGTTACAGACTCACAATTTGTAGCCGACGTCATCCAAGACATCAATACAGGCAACATATGGAACCACCCACATAAAAAAGCCCGTTGGGACCTCATCCAACGGCTTATTGAACTATGGCACCCACTTCGATTCATCCTTATGAAAATTCGATCACACCAAGATATAAGTCAGGCCCAAGGCGAGGAAGAAGCCTGGCACATCTATGGTAACTCATGTGCGGATATTGTTGCTGGCAGAATGCGTCTCACAGATGAACAAGATTTCTCAGACCTTTGCCAAGACATTCGACATGCCCGCCTGCAGGAACGTGATATTTACAACCAAATTTACCAATACCTCGTTGACCTTGCGCTTGCCCGCTTGGACAAAATGGACCAAAAAGTTGCAGATGTACCAACCCACCAGGCGCCTGTTGGTCTTCAGGCGCCTGCTGCGCACACAAATTATCTCAAACAGATGCAAAAACTCAGGGAATGGACAGTCACTGGTAATCTTTTTGTTCACCCTGGTGAACCCCACAAAGTTGTCTTCTGGTGTAGCCCATGGGGTACGAATTTAACTCGTATGATCTGGCAGTTCTGTCAACTGCTGGTGTGGCCATGCCCGGATCAACCCCCCGAATATGGGGAGCAAGGTATCTCTTGGACAGAACTTGCTTTCTCCTTCATGTTATGGTCCCAGAAAATCTTGCCCGTTAAGATTCGAGATAACAACCGCCAGATTTACCTGGAGTATGATGATCCCAAAGTGGCTCTGCTCCCTTCGATCTGTAAGAGTCTTGTCGGAAAATTTCCGCTGGATTGTCAAGCACATACAAACTTTCTCCAAAAGCCATATTATTCCGCAATATAGAAACAGGGTTGTTCCAGTCTCACTAGACTCGGCTTCACGGCATATCACGAGGGAGGGGTATCCCGACGCCCCGTCCTCCCTAATTTGAACAGCACCTGTGACTTCATTCACGGCATGTTGCAGAACATGTCCCATGATCCACCATACCACACTGAAGTTGAAATGCCTGCTTTGCCTGATAGTGATCACGCCGTACAGTGGCCAGACTGGCCTGAAGTTCCGGCGGATAAGCGTGAGTCTTTCCTGATTCAGGTTCGTAATGCCACCGCCCGCAAGAAAGACTTCGATACCATCAGGCACCCGAATGCCTATGCGTGAATTAGTTTCATGAATAATTGAACTGAAGGGTTCGTATAATTCCCTCCGCCAAGGTCCTGACGTGGCTGATCTCAAATCCACATGCATTGATGCTCACGAAACCCTGACCGTGTCATCCATGACATCCCGGGGCATAGTACAATGATAGAGGTGGTGTACTCTTTCCATGCCTGACCTTGCAGGGCTCAATTCATAATTAACGCCCCTCGCACTGACAGCGGAGCCATATTTGCTTGAAGGGACTTACGGCTCATAACTTCGGTCGGGGGGCTACTCCTATGCTTTGATGTGTTGTTGCTCCAGTTGAGGCCGGTTCTTTGGTGTATGTTGCCCGGCAATTTCGTCAGTTCATCCCACTTTCGTCATTCTCGTTCTGGTAGCTCGTTTCTCACCCCTCACTCAGCAACGTTTCACATCCGAGTCCCACCGGAACCCCTTGGAATAGCCAAGAAGGGATCGTGTGGGCGCGCTCGTCGTGGACGGACCGCAAGTCCGCGCATTCAAATGGAGGGGGTTATTAGTCAAGAGTCTACATGTTATATATGTATATATATATATGGTGTATATGTTTTGGTTGACCATTGGGCCTTGACTTTGTATAGCTGGGTCCTAAAACCCCCAGTGTAGAAGGAAAGAAAAGAGGAGCACCCAAGAATCCAAATCAATGAATCAATGTGTTGGTATGCGGTATGCTCTGTGTTGATACACCGCCCCCCGGTTTGGGGTGGTTAATGGACCACCCCTTAACCTCTACGGGGCTTTCATTGGACACTCAAACCAGCGGGGCCTTGGTAGAAGCATGCCAATTTTCTACCGCGTTTCCTTGGTATGGTGAACTCTTCCACACTCGGCATCTGCACCCTCCCGCGCAAGCCCTTTCGCTGCGCGGAAGCCGGGTTGATTCGCTTCCGCCAGCTCGGCAGGACCTTCCGTGTCCTCGGTGACCTTCTCCCCAGATGGGCGGATGTTGTTGGCCAACGTGCAGGTCGTGCGCGTGCGCGAAGCGCCCGAACTCGGCTCGAAGGTTCCATGGACTGGGTGTGGTAAACCTCCCAGAAGACCTCCTGGAAGACGGAGCATATAGACCACAAGCCATTGGTGGGGCGGCTCCTCATGATCTAGAAGACGCACCGCTTCACTCCTGAGTTTGTGGTAGGGGATAGGTGGAGGTTTTGCGCGACCATTGCGACCCTAAAGCCGAAACTCCGACATTCACAGACACGACGAATGGAACTGCCATAGGACTGCCGCCCCAGACGCACCCCCCTGGCACCACCCCTGGCCGTTTCTCGGCAGTCCGACATGGCAGTCCCAGACGGGTCGTGTCTGGGATTGGTCCGATGGCGCCAACAAGCGTTGGGGGTCTCCCCACCTGCCAAGCCCGCTGAAAAGCGGCCGACCAGGTGGAGCTGTACTCGGAGGTGCGCGTGATTTCGGCCCTGGACGGGCGACAGCTCTTCCATGTGCGGCTGGAGGGCGTGATGACTGCCATGCCACTGGGTGATGGCATGAAGAAACGGATCTGGGGATGAGTAGATGCGGATGGGGATGGGCCGGGGCCGGATGGGGATGGGGTTCTTCAACTGCCAATGGCCCACTCCTGCTCACGAAAATCACTAAATACGTTGGTGGCCTGGCACAGACAGACAGACACCAACGTTCACAGGACTATTCAGGTCACTGCGAGCAGCGAGCACCTCAGAAATCCTGCGACCTCCCCAGTGATCCATGAGACGTTTTCCGTCACAAGCAGAAACAGCCGCCACATGCCCGCGGGGGCTAGAGCAGGTTGAACAGCCCTTTTGAGCCTAGTCTCTTTTGTATTCCATATATGTACCACTACCAGGAGCTTCCTGATCCAAGCCCCGGTGCTTTTAGGGACACCCCATAGGCCCTAGGCCCTTCACCTCTAAGAGGCTACGAGACTATAGACACCTCTCTTGCTCTAGAGTCCGGTCCTGAGGTCTCTAGAAAGGGTGCGCCCTAGAAAGGAAGGTGTCTAAGGTCTAGGGTCCACCTTCTTGGGTCTAGGGTGTCTAGGGTCCGAAAGCTGCAGGTCTCAAGAAACCTCTCCACCGCTCAGAGCTCCGCCCGCCCTACCCAAGGTGGCAGCCTTCTGCCGAGGCCTTTGCTGCGCCAGAGTTCCCGGTGCCCGAAGTGGTTCCAGAGCAAGAGAAGGTGTGGAGGGCATGGAGATAGCCAGCCTGTATCTGCGGAACATATGCGTGGAGAGCTCCTGGAAAGCGGGGCGTAGGCTGAAGGGGCTTGAAGGTTCCCTATTGGGAGAGTGATAGCCCACCTACCATCATAAACCACGGACCATCACTCAATATACTTCAACGATTTGGACTGCTATGTTGCTATTACTGTATGCTGTATGCTTTTGTTGTCCGGGAGAGGTTTGGCATGTCCAAGCACTCTAAGCTCCGAAAACTTTGCCAACTTCCATCCGTCCACCTCCATCTCCAACAGCCAGCACCCTTCCAAGAGGTGGGTTTTTGATGGTTCTTGGACATCCCTGAAGTAGCCTCTTAACAGAAGGCTCTTTACAGACACCTCTGGGGTTTGGTCCTGGAAGTTGACCTTTGAACCAAGAGGAATTCCCGTTGGCCCCACCGGACCCCGCGCGAGAACGGAGAAGGTCCCAGAACCCTGGAGCGCCTGGATCCTTTCAGATCCATGGGAACGAGCTGGCTTTGTAAAACCCTTAGGATTCGGACCCTTCACACCACTGGTTGGCCAGTTTTGAGGGACCCAGGGACCCACCATACCAGTGAAAGCCTTTCACCCTCCAGCAAGGCCATCCAGATCGAGACCAGGGACCGGGAGTGGCTGCACCAGAGGCCCAGTTGAAGCCGCTTCTTGTTCAAGTCAGGGGGGTCATGAACATTCCAAGAGAGGTTAAGTGACCTTCTAGGACCCCCACTGGGGTACCTGTAAGATGGTCTAGAGATGTGTAGAGTCTAGTTCGGGTTCTTCAAAAATGCAGGAAGAGCATCTGGAGACACTTCTCTGGTGCTTTCCGATGTTCACCTCCCAGCCCTCCAAGACTCTTCCCCAGCCTTCCAAGACTCTTCAGCAAGTCGTTGAGCTGGTTTGGCAGTTGAAGAACGTCCTTAGCCAACCAAACCCTTCGAACCAATGGTGGGCGACTGGAAGCCTGGGGCCGGCATACAGGTCATCACTGCTTCCCTTCCCTTCAAGAAGGTACTTCACCTGGGCGTGGGCGACTGCCACCCAGCTTCGTCGGCATGCCAAATGCCCATCACGAGTTGGTCACTTCCGGAAGTCCCAAGACTCTTATAAAAGAAACAGCTCTTTCAAGTGATCCGAATTTCATGACCATGTCCTGTGCCATGGACCGGTGCCCTGGACCATGGACCGGCGACGCAGGCTCGCCGAGGGAGCCGGGGAGCTCGAGGAGTTGGAGGAAGCGCTCGCCGCGCCGCAGGCGCGCGGAGCGCGCGCGCGGAGCGCTGCCCTTCGACGGTGAAGACGTGTCAACTTGATGGGTTTTCGAGGCCAATTGAAACAAGTAGGGAGGACCTGCTGAGTTTTGGTAGGGTCAAAACTCACTAGTATACCCTAGAAGTCCAGTTCGACTATATTGGACCGACTGAAGGATCCAGACAATTCCTTGACTCGGGGTCACCGTTCGGACTGGACCATTCTTTTGATAGTCGACTAGACTCCCAGGGAGTAAGTGGGACCAAATGCCTCTACAGGCTGTACAGGTCAGTCGGACCATGTAGTCGACACTGCTCGATGAGCTCGCTGTTCAGGACCAGGTTCCGGTCAGCCCGTAGGGCCCGTCGGGCTACGGGGTGATGGAGGAACTCGGGTGGGGCGGACCTCTCGAAAGCGAAATCGAGCAGGATGTCCTGGTGTCGAATCGAACCACCCTGGGAAGAGGGAGGATTTGGAGGGGGGTGCCCATGAAAAAAAGCACCCAAATGGGGGATCCGTGTTGATTGGTCATTGACCGTGTTGAATGGTTCAAGTGGTTTCGACCATGAGCAGTTCGGACTAGTCTCTTGAGGTTGCTTTCCGGGGCCCCACATTCAGGTTGATGATTCTGGTTTGGTTTGCTTGGAACTTTCATTAGCTTGCCAGGACTGAAGCAAGAAGAGTGCACGAGCGCGCTTGGAGCTGCTGCTCCAAGCGCCAAACGGGTCGGTTCCCTCAACTGACCGACTGGGTAGTTCCAGGGTCACGTCCCGCCAAGACGTGGAGTCCAAAGGCAAATCTGGTGAGTGTACCCCTCCCTCCACCCGTGGAAGTGGACCAATTGCCCCTAGGGGAAGACGATTTTCCTCCTACCCGGACCATCCAATGGGTATCTAACAGATATCTCTAAGCAGTGCAGGGTCGTGGACAACCATTGGATGGTAGACAGATGGTGAACTCCGCTTCCATGTTTGCCAGTGCGGCAGAGTACCTTATACATCGAACCGGTGACCCCGAACCTGTTGGAACCCCCTCTGGGGACGTTTCAAACGGTGCCAGTTGTGCGAGTGCCGCGCCACAGACCCATCTGCTCTTCGAGTTCACCGGGGCGCATGGCTCTTGCTTGATGAGCAGCTCCCTGGAGGAACCGGAGAAGGGCGAGCGTTGCTGGGGCCAAGTCCGGCGTCCATGCCCGGGTAGTCCATGCAGTCCATGGGTCAGAGAACACCTACGACGGGAAGTCCGTGGATGTTTTTGCAGGTCATCGTCTTTTGGGGAGGATTGGGAGGGCCCGACTCAACTAGAACAGGTGGAAGGTTCGTTTTGTTTTCTCTCCCTAGGGCATTTCACACTTCTTTTATGCCGTTCCGACCAGAGAGTCAGCGGCATGGCAACCTTCCATTTGCGAAGGCGGAGCTTGATCGATGGGAACAGGTGGAAGGTTCGGCTAAGCCTTATTGCTTTCATGGAGCTGAGGGAGTGAAGGATGCACGAAATAGCTCGGCCAAGTCAGAGTGTCTAAGCGTACGAGGGCCAAATGCGAAGGAACTCACTTTTGTTGTATCTATAATGCGATACTTAGCCACATGGGGTGGTTAATAGACACCCCTTCAATCCCCTTCACCTCTTTTCACACCCCAAAAAGGGGTCCTGGCATCGATGGCCTCATGGCTGCAATTGGATCATCTAGACCCGAAAACCTGCCGGATGTGAAGCAACTGGATGCAGACCGGATGTAGCCTTCCTGGCCCGGTCATGACTGGTTTGAATCAACAGCCATTCCGGGTGCAGGTCCAATTTCACTTAGCAAAAGCAGATCCTTTCTGTCCTAAGCCTATACATGACCAACTTCCGTCAAATCTGCAGGGATTTTGTGTTGTGAGTTTTTGCACTACAACACCAGGTCCTCCATGTTTAAAGTGGTCGACGGAAAGGCTAGGCACACGTCTCCCGTCTTTACCGAATCTCATGGAGCCACATGGGCCAGTAGCCTCATGGAAACGGCCTGCACGGAGGTCTTGGAAAGGATACTGGCCTCGCTGATCATGTTCTGGGATTGTGAGGTCAGTGCTCCAAGAGAAAGCCATATCTAAACACGGCCTGACCATTGAACGTTGAGAAAGGTGCCTGAGAATCCTTGCTCCCCCTCCCTTTCCTCGACTCGCACCTTGCAGGAGGTGCTCGCCGCGCCCCGCGACTTTGCCATGGCCTTCTGCCAGCGCCAGCGGCTCCCGCCGC